CCTGGCTGACCTAGCGTTCTTAGGGTCGAGTAGGGGAAGCAGGCTTGGGTCTCTGTGCCTGGTCTGTAGATACTCACTTCTTCTCCAGGACTCCTTTGACGTCTGCTGTGCTAACTCTTCAAGGGTAGTATATCCTGCTGCCTGGGGTCGGGGGAAGACCTGGGGCGCTTTAGCTGTTCCTTCTGCAGGCCAGAAGCCAGTCCTCCTGTGTTCAGCTCTCTGCCTCGTGCTCACCTTTGAGGTCCTCACTGCCTCCAAGTCCTGGGCTCCTGGGCTCTAACTGGCTTGTATTTCAGCTACTGTGTAGGCTTTGGCTCTTTTCTTTTCTCATCTAATCTAATCTGATCTTGTGGGATCTGCTCTGCTAGTGCTTCCTTTCACTTTCATCTTCTAAAGTGCTGTTGGTGGTTGTTCCCCTTCTTTTTGTTCTTGGGAGTTTTCGTTCTTCCTTCCTTCCTTTCTTCCTTTTCTTTTCTTTCTTCCTTCCCTCCCTTCCTTCCTTTCCTTTTTTATTTTATTTTATTTTTAATTTTTTTTGAGACGGAGTTTCACTCTTGTTACCCAAGCCGGAGTGCAATGGCGTGAGCTCACCGCAACCTCCGCCTCCTGGGTTCAAGCAATTCTCCTGCCTCAGCCTCCCGAGTAAGCTGGGACTATAGGCGTGCGCCACCATGCCCAGCTAATTTTTGTATTTTTAGTAGAGACGGGGTTTCACCTTGTTGACCAGGATGGTCTCGATCTCTTGACCTCGTGATCCACCCGCCTCGGCCTCCCAAAGTGCTGGGATTATAGGCTTGAGCCACCGCGTCCGGCCTTTATTTTTTTTTAAGATGGGGTTTCACCATGATGGCCAGGCTGGTCTTGAACTCCTGACCTCAGGTGATCCACCCACCTCGGCCTCCCAAAGTGCTAGGATTACAGGCATGAGCCACCGCGCCCGGCCTCTTCTTTCCTTTCTTGCTTTCTTTTCCCTGCCCTCCCCTCCCCTTCCCTCCTCTCCTGCTCCCTGTCCCTTCCCTCCCCTCCCCAAGGTCTCACTTTGTCACCCAGGCTAGAGTGCAGCAGTGTGGTCTTCGTTCACTGCCACCTTGACTTCCTGGGCTCAGGTGATCCTTCCACCTTGGCCTCCTGAGTAGCCATGACCATAGGTGTGTGCCACCATGCCAGCTAATTTTTTTTTGTATTAGAGATTTGGTTTCACCATGTTGCCAAGGCTGGTCTTGAACTCCTGGCCTCAAGCCATCTGCCTGCCTCGGCCTCCCAAAGTGCTGGGATTACAGGCATGAGCCACTGAGTTTAGATCTTTTTAAAAAATTACTTTTATTTTATTGGGCTTTTGAGAGGGAGCAGAGTTTACCTTATTTAACTAAAACCTTTTTCTTCTATTTAACCTTTATGTGTTCTTTTGCTTTAAATGTATGTTTTTAGACAGCGTATTGATGGATTAAACATCCAAGATGAGAATCTGAATTTTAATCAAGGAGATAAGCCTGTTATATATTTACTATAATTATTATTATATTAGCATTTGACTATGCTGTCTTTTTGACTATGCTGTCTTTTTTTTTTTTTTTTTTTTTTTTTTTTTTTTTTTGGTTGTTTTTTTTTTTTTTTTTTTTTTTTTTTTTTTTTTTTT